TTTGCTCTATTCATTGATCACTATTTAAATGTTGTCACCTGTGCAGAAAAATAGGACAACAGTTTAACAACATTTAATATTATCTATTTGCTTAAATCCAAGATAAGGCTCCTCTCCCCAATTTAACATGGGGGGGGGGGGGCGAGGAAAGCCCCTCATCTTGGATTCAAGTACTAGTTGGACAGACAGCTGCTTCAGCTCCAATTCTGGCTCCAATCTGAGTTGGAGTTGGGCCAATGCCCACCACTGTCTCTGCCCCCTCCTCCCCCATTGCCTCCCCCCACCCCCCCAGCCTCTGCTCCCTCATCCATACCCCTGTTGCCACTTACTCTCTGACTCTGGCTCCACAGAGCACATGGTTGCTCCAGCCCCAATCCAGCCACACAACAGCAGGGATCAAAGCTGGCATTGATGCAACTGCTGCTGCAAAGCTGGGCTAGGACTAGAGCAACCATGTGCTCCATGCACCAGACTGGAGCAGGGCTAGAGCTGAAGCCAAAGGGTAAGCAACGCAAAATGGCCAGGCAAAGGGACAGAGGCCTCAGCGGGGACCAGGTAGGAGGGGGAGCAAGTGGTAGGTGGGGCAGATGCCAGGGGATACAGGCCCATGGTGGAGGAGAGGGAGGCAAGTGCTGGGGCACGCAAGCACATGGGGGCAAGTGGTAGTGGGGAAATAAGCAGGAAGGGGTAAGGTGCAAAAGGGGCAAGGGGTCAGGCCACTTGACTCCCCTGCCAGCTGTGCCCCACCACTGCATGCCTGCTGCAACAGTAAAGGGTGATGCATTTAAGACTACCCTTCTATAATTAGATTCTACATGTCAAAAATTATACCACATTTATACATTTTTCATGTATAGAATCTAATTATTGGAGGGTCATCTTAAATTCAGAGTTGTCTTGGATTCAAGTAAACACGGCAAGTTAACTGAATGTAGTCAGTTACTTATGTTGGAATTGTGTTAGGACATTGGTGCCCGAAATCCCACTCTTGATAAAGTGTCATGGCATTTTTAAAACGTAACGGGAGATTATTTTCTTTTCTTTCCTCAAAGTCTGCAAAGGCCCAAACTAGAGCCAGTCAGACAAATTTCATTGCACAAAAAAGTATCAAGTTGTATTTACTTACTCAATTTTAAGCATTTTTAAACATTTTTTTTTCCACAACCATTGAGGCACAGCTTAATTTTAGTTTCAGAATAAATATTTGTATTGTAAGCCAGCAACAATCATGTGCTGCAGTGGAATTGCTGACAGGTGTTTCACCATCAGCAGCTTCCTCAGGCTTTTCTGTCACAAACATACAACTACTTGTATGCAAATATTTTCAATCTTTTTTTTTTTTTTGAGAAACTTGGGAGAAAATATTTTTAAGAGTCAGAGAGCTTGTAACTTTTTTATTTACTTTTTCAGGGTATAGGTCTCTGTTTATGTGAAAGAAATTTCTTGTGGATTTCTGTGTACTAATTCAAATTTATGGTTCATGAAAGCTGTATTCCTGTTCAAATGTTTTAAGTAGACATTTCTCAGCTACCTGAGGGAAACCTCTCAGCCTCCGGGTGCTTTAAAGCGTCCTGGCACTTTAAAAAAAAACAAAAAGCCCCACACTCACCGATCGCAGCAGCAGGCATCAAGGCCTCTGAGGCCTCATGGCAGAGCCCCTCTGCATAATGCGGAGCAGTGGGGATTGGCTGCCGCCCCCCCAACCCATAGCACCTGCACAGCAGCTGTCACATCATGTGGGTGCAGCATGACTTGGCAAGGCGCCATGCACTGTCTGGGAGCTGGGGCAGCTCCAGCAGTCAGGCAGAGCCCGGCACCACTCAGCCCCAGTGGCCCCAGCTCCCAGACAGCACGCAGCACCCTGCCAAGCTGTCCCGCACCTACACTATGGGGCAGCTGCTATGCAGGTGCCAGGAGGGGGGTGGGGGGACAATCCTTGTTGCCCTCCACTGCCCTATGCTTCACAGGGGGACTCTGCTACAAGCCCTCAGAGGCCCTGATCACAGCTGCTACATCTGGTGAGTGCGGGACTTTCCCCCCCCGCCCTTCTTTTAAGTGCCAGGATGCTGGGGCCGGGCAGGGGATGGAGCAGGGAAGCCATGGGGGCTACTCCTGCAGCTCCCTCTGCCCGGGGAGAGGCAGGCACAGCTGGAGGAGCCATGGGAGAACCTGCAGTTGTTCAGCTGGCCCTGCTTCTCCCTGACCAATCCGAATCTCTGAATCGGTGTCGAAACTCCAAAGCAGATTCAGCCGAATTGAAACAGAACAGTGATCTGAAACACAAAAATGAATCACAGTCCTCTGAAATGGCCGAATCCAAAACCGAAACAAAACATAGTTGTTTCGCACAGCCCCTATTTATTATTAAAAACAAATAAAAAACAAAAAACCCACCCTAACCCCGATGTTATTAGCATTTAAAATCATATTATAACTTGGGGAAACATGCTTTACAGTTAGCTTTTATTTCCTTTTTAAAAGTATGTATCTTCTGTTGCACCTTTTATGTCCCTGAATATGATACTGGCTACAGCATATTTTAAATTGGACAATACAATAACCAAATTCATACAAGTGGAAGCTGTATAATATGGGTAATTAAAGTTAACATTTCAACCTTTTGTTGATTTAAATAGCTTATCTGTTAAAGCAAGAATCATTCATTATCTCTTCACATATCCAAGAGGAAAAGTAGCATGGGCTGCATGCATTTGGACCTTTGTTTTGTCAAGTTCTAAAAAACAGAATAAACTGTTCTATTATACAATGATTTCCTTAAATACCAGGATTTGATACAGAGAGAAACTGAGTGGTAATATTAATAATAATATAAGTTGTTTGTGTTTGTGGAAAGGTTATTTACTTTGAACTGATTTGGCAGTCAGCAGGCATACAAAATGATTGCATTGTCATTGATCTTGTGTTATATAGAGGTGAAATTAAGGTAAGCAGTGCCCAGCTATGACAAGGTTAAGTTTTGTTCCACTTACGTTAGGGTGGAGAAGGTTTAAGTCATAGGTGTGCAAAGCAAAGGCTTAACAAGCAACTGGGCTCCCAGGCCAGCAGGACGCATTGGGGTAGCAATAACTTATGGCTAATTCCATGCCACTGTATGGCTGTAGCAGCAGCTGATATTTTTTCGTCCCTCCCCACAAGTTGATGCCTGGGCTGCCCAGGTTGCTGCACCCTAGTTGCATGATGCCCTAATTATGGCTCAAAAGCACTTACTCAATCCTATACCCTCCTATAACTTCCTTTTTTATTCTCTTTCCATTTCCTAAATATCAGATTGTTACAAATTAGACTCCATTATATGACAAGCTTAAAACTGATGTCACCAATAAGCAGCACCACTAAATTTGGTTCAAGGACTTACACATCCATTGCACCTATTGGATTTCCCTCATTATTTATTGATCACTTCATTGATTTTCTGAAACCATCAGTAAGACGTTTTTCATTGCATAAACCAGTGCTTATCTTATCTTCTGCAATTCATCCATGGACACTGATGTGATAGGTTTCTTATGAACACGTTAATAAAACAAATGGCATACAATTGGTTATTACTGAAAATTACATTTTAAAGACTCGGTAAGTAGTAGGGTGTACTTGGAGAAGAAGAGAGGAAATTCATGGAAGTACGAATGGTTTCAGGTGTGTTACAGTTGTTTTTGATTAATTTGATATTTTTAATGTTAATTAAGTTTCTCAGTAATATTTTAGTGCAGGTTATATTTTCACTTTTTTCTGCTTGAAATATAGTTTCAAAACATCCCAAACCATGTATGTCCAGTTTCATTTGGCAAATGCTGATGTAGTGATTGTATAATTGTAGGTGTAGGGTTGAAAGTTCGGTAATATTTTTGTGGGCATTTTCTATTAAATGCCATTTTTACAGTTTTTGTACTGCACAGTTTGTGTTCCTAATTCCTAAGTAAATCTTCAAGTACTCTACTAATGATGACCTATCAGGTTTATCTAAAAAAAGAAAAAGGAATGCATTTTTTCTTCAGTTTATGCACACATAAACTGGCTGTCATTTATAAAGTCAGCTTTTTACTAAGGCTTAACCTGCAGTGGTATCTGAGATTTGTCTTTTCATTGGAGGATTGGACCAAAAGAAATTTCATGAGGCTCAATAAGAAGTGCAAAGTCCTGCATTTAGGAAGAAACAATCCCATGCACCGGTACAGGCTGAGGACCCAACTAAGCAGCTAGCTAAGCAGCTGAAAAGGACCTGGAGATTACAATGGAAAAATAAGCTATATATAAATCAACTGTGTGCCTTTGTTGCCAAGAAGACTAACAGCATCCTGAGTGTTGTCAGTAGATCATAGGAGTGTTGCCAGTAGATTGAGGAAAATGATTATTACCCTCTATTTGGCACTGGTGAGGCCACATCTGGAGTACCATGTCCAGTTTTGTGTCCCCCACTACAGAAAGGAAGTAGACTAATTGGAGAGAGTCAGCTGGAGCGCAAACGAAAATGGTTGGGAGGCTGGGGCACATGACTTATGAGAAGAGGCTGAGGGAACTGGGCTTATTTAGTCTAGAGAAGAGATGATTGAAGGGCGATTTAATTGCAGCCTTTAACTACCTGCAAGGTGGTTCCAAAGTGGATGAAAGCTAGACTGTTCTTGGTGGTGGCAGATAACAGAACAAGGAGTAATGCTCTCAAGTTGCAGCAAAGGAAGTTTAGTTCAGATATTAGGAAAAAATTTGTCATGAGGAGGATGGTAAAGCACTGGACCAGGCTACCCAGAGAGGCTGTCAAATTTTCATCCTTGGAAGATTTTAAGACTCAGCTACACAAAGCCTTGGCTAGGAAGGTCTAGTTGGGGATGGTCCTGCTTTGAGCAGGGGATTGCATTAGGTGACCTCCTGAGGTCCCTTTGAACCTTAATTTTCTGTGATTCTATGATTGTTTACCTTGAACTTTTCATTAACTTGGTATTTTATGTACATATGCATAAAAAAACTTACTTACAACTTTTTAGATTACTGGAGTGAGAGCGACAAGGAAGACGCAGACACTCCATCAACACCCAAACAAGACAGTCCACCGCCTCCATATGACACATACCCACGACCTCCTTCTGTAAGTCCTCTGCAGTTACTTAATTGAAAATGTTTGGTGAAAAGTATTATTTTTACCTACTTAAAATCTTTCTAAACCTTAATACATTCAAACTGCTGTAAAGAACAGTTTTCACTATATCGATTTCTGATTAAAATATTGGCTTTCAGTCAGCCCCTGTAAGATAAATAAAACTCCCCTTCAAACCTAAAATCTCCTTTAATCTTTTTCTGATCAAAATAAGGCTCTCTAATGGTTATGTACCTTTCTAAATTTAGTGTTGTTCATTTGAAGCCCTGTATTTCTTGTTGTTGGGAAATAATCCTGTCCAGAAACTAATCGAAATATTAGTTTACATCCAGAGTATGAAAGTGTAGGTAGTATTAGTTTTTTTGGATTACTGGAGTGAGAGTGATAAGGAAGAAGTTGTTAGTTGTTAATAAGGGAAGAATCTTGTCCAGAGGCAGGAAGTGAAACTGTGATTTAATAATTACATCTTGTATAGCTGCAGAGAGAGAAAGGAAACTATTTGCCTCCATAAAGTAAAAAATCAGAGAGAGTAAACTATTGTTCCATGGACATGAACAAGGACTGAAGACGCGCACACAAAAATGAAAATTTCCGCTGGGAAACAAACTGAGATAGCATAAAGGGCAACAAGAAAAGCATTTATGAAAGTAAGGCTGAGTGAAAAACTAAGGTGAGATGAGGATGTTTTCCTTTGTTTCTCGCTCAAAAGCAAACATACACATATATAACATCACTTAACTTTCTGGTAGTTTTTAATCCACAGCTTTACTGAAATTGTTCCTTAAACAATACAACTCAGTAGCATCAGAACTTACCCAAGCTGGACAATCTTTGCTCATGAATATTTTCAGATACAAATACAACTAACACTCCTACTTTCAGCAGTAGGCACATAACCCAGATTTAGGAGAATCTATAATCTTGCTCACAAGAAAAAGTTGGTTAAGTTATAAAAAATGTTCATGACTACTCTATGAAAAACAGAGCCTGCTCAATGAGTAGCTCTCTACTCACAGCCCAAACTTACACTTCTAGATCAAAGATTCTTCATGGCACAAAATAAGTGTCAGCGTCAAAATGCATATGTAGGTTCCAGAAAACTTTCAGTCCTCCACTAACATACAAACAACAGAAATAGTTATTTTGTCACCTACAAAATTTATAAATTAAAACACTCACAGTTTCTTCTCACATCCAGTTTTAATATAGGGCCAGACTGCAAATCACTTACTCATAGCATGCATGATGAAGGCACATACACAAAAAGTAAAATTGCAACTGGGAAACAAATGGAGGTAGCACAGAAGGCAACAAGAAAAACATTGGAACTCAGGCTGAGTAAAAAAAAAAATACAGTGAGATAATGAAGCTTTCCTTCTTTTCTAACTTTAAAATAAACATGCACACATATTACATCACTTAACATCCTGGTATTTTTCTTCCATGTCTACGCTCTAAGAAATTATTAACCAGTTCATCTTAGAAAGTTACATAAAAATAAAGCACAAAATAAGCTAAGTTTTGAAGTTTCTAGCTTTAGAAGCTTCTGAATTATCTGAGCGCAAACAGTGTATATAAATGTAAATGGGAAAATGTATTTTCCATGGAGTGCAACTGACAAGCCATTTTTTAATTTACCCAAATCATTCATCTTTGGGCTAGATTCAGGTATAATAACATCATCCTAAAAAATGTGCAGATTATAATGAAAGGTCACCTTGAAGGTAGGCAGTACTCACTCCTTAGTGTAGAACCAGATTCAGCCATTTTTGTACCTATTTATTAGTGTAGTGAATAGTCTCACAAGAGTCCATGGATCTGTTTTGCAGAGTAGGGATTATTCAACAAGAGTGAGGGGATCAGTCTGAACCATAGTATTTATGTCAGTATATAGATGCACTCTGTACATCTGAAAATACAAACACACAAGACAAAATGGTTTAGATTTGTAACTTGTTCCCTCGTGACTAAAGTAGACACTGTCATTAATTGGTGCATCTACACATCACCATATGGTGACGTTGCTATGGCTCTGTGCTTTAGTACTTCCTTTTGGAAGTACTAAAGCATGGCACAGTAACCGCTCATACTGTGCCATGCACGTGGTGCATGATTAGATTTCGTCTCTACTTTGCCGTAGTGGCAAACTAAAATGGGGGAGCATGCCACTATGGTGAAGTAGCTGCTGGTCATGTGTAGACTCATGTGATCACTCTGTCACTGTAGTGTGTCATAAGGTGACGTGTAGATGTGCCCATAATAAAATAGTTTTGTGACAGTTATTAGTAGATCTGAATATACTGCCTATCTGAGGAATATCCTGCTGTTCACTTTGTAGATGAGTTGTGCAAGCCCTTACGTGGAACCAAAACACAGCCGGCTTTCATCCACGGAAACTTCCCAATCACAGTCTTCTCATGAAGAGTTCCGTCAGGAAGCAGTTGGGAGCACCACTGAATCACCTGTCCGCAAAACAGCCAGCCAGAGACGTTCCTGGCAGGATTTAATAGAGACACCACTGACAAGCTCAGGACTGCACTACCTTCAGACTCTGCCCCTTGAGGATTCAGTGTTCTCTGACTCAGTCGTAATCTCACCAGAACACAGGCGGCAATCAACTCTTCCAACTCAAAAGTGCCACCTGCAGGATCACTACGGTCCATTTCCTTTAGTAGAGGGTGAGAAAATGCAAGTGCTAAATGGAAATGGGGGAAAACCCCGGAGTTTTACTCTGCCTCGGGATAGTGGGTTCAACCACTGCTGTCAGAGCCTTTCAGTTAGTGCCTCTGATCACCAGGAAGAAGTGCAACAGAAAGAGGTAGATGAGGAGGAGGAGGAGGAGGAAGGGAAAGCAACAGAAGAAAGCCAAGAAGATAAAAGTAAGTATTGCATATTCTCTGTAGCATTTCGGCACTCCTATATAATTAACTTATATGTTGAAAATTTCTTTCTTAAGTTTTTATATATATAATATATAAATATAGAGAGCAAGAGAGTCTTCCCTTAAATTTTAACAAGTCCCTCTTGCTGCAGATGCAATGGAAATGACCTGATCTTCTCTCTGTTCAGTGTCTTAAAATCTTTCAGGATGATGACCGAGGTATCCTAGGGCACATCTACGCCACCTGAATGCACCACCTGAATTTATTATATTACTCAGTGTAACATGGCTGCCTTTGTGTGGGCATGATCTCTCTTGTCTGGAAGAGATTACTGACATACACCCTGCTGCACTACAATAGCAATGTTACATTTGTTTTGTGGTGCAAGTGTATCCACTGAATGGAGTTGGTAGGTCTCAATGCCCTGGTCCCTGGGGGCAGCCCTTTAGTGGTATAGGCATGCCCCTTTCACCTACCCCTGCTTAGAGTACAGAATTACCTTTGTTTTCTTCTAGTTATTTTTAGTTTAAAATGCTAATGGATTTTGTTTTTCTATTTCCTTTCCGTCACCATTCAGTATGCCTGCCACTAGCACATTCACAGCTTTCAGACAAGTGGCTAAGATCCAGCTTCCCTTCCAGTCAATAACACAATTCTCCCTGAATTCAGAAGTCTGAGAACCTGCCCTGTGCAGGGCTCAGGCTGAAAAAATCCTGATAAGACAACCAAACATTTGAAACTAGTTAAAAAAACAAGGAATGTTTCCAGCAGTCTCCAATGTGAACTTTTAAAAGGAAGATTTTAAAAAACATATCAACAAAGAATTTCTCAAAAGGTATTTATTTACATGAACAACGGACAACATTCAGTCTGATAGTGAGCAACCATTTCTAGCATGGCACATTTGTGGATATTACTGTTACATGTCAAAATAGCCAAATAAACGTCTAGAACAGGGATTTAAGAAGCCCCTTGTCCTCACACACGTTTATAAATTTACCCATCTGTTTTGTTGGACTGTCCATCATCCTTGTTATATAGTGTCCATATGTTGGCTATAGAAGTTCAGTTCACAACCGGTTTCCAGATAAAGCCTGCCTCAGTTACAGGATTGTGCTACAAATAAGTCATCTGTAGAGGCCAAGGGGGCAGATAATCTACAAATCTTTTGTTGTAACTTTAACTGCTACTAATATGGGTCCCTTAAACCTGGCAGGGACCCCCTCTGCAGAACTGAAGTGAAAGAGGAATGTGAAAATTGTAGACACAAAGATATAAGAAAAGGTAAAAGAAGTTGAAGATGACAGAAAACAATTAAACTGTCAACCTAACAGCACTGCTGAGCATTGGAATTAGTGTAGATTTAATTCCTTTAGTCTCCATAGCAGATTCAGTTTTCCTCTGTATTTATGTTTTAATTAATAAATACTAGACATTTTGTAATATGCTTCTGGCCTTCAGGGAAAAAATGGTTTGTTCTGCAGACCTTAATTAAATCTCTGGTATGGTTTTTTTTTTTCTAAAAAACCCCAGGATGTCATTTCATCTCATTCCCAGTACCTTTCAAAAACATACAGTAATAAGGTAACATTTAGATTACTAAAAGTGTGTGAATTTAAGGTGTCTAAAACAGTTTACTACATGTTAAAATTTCATGAACCCAACGACGGAATGTGTTACCCTATTTTTACCCTGGAGGATTCTCCTTCAAATGAGCTTGTAAATTGTAGCAATAAAAATGGACAAAATCCTTCCACTTTATGATAGCAAAAGGAAGTGGGCATAGCAAGGTTTATCCTGCTAATCTATTATACTCCTTGTATTTTTTGTGTTATGATATTTTAGACCACATATCAATAATTTATGGGAAAGTATGTGAATTAATGGGGAGAACCTGATTTCTTCTTGTTTCTACCATCTTCTCCGAAAATGATATTCTATTTCTTTTTTTGAAGAGGTCTCCCTAATGAATGTTCCTAACTGCTTAAGGGAGGCAGTTTTCTTAATTTAAGCAAAAAATAACTAGAAGGGAGATTATTTCTGAGAAATTAACAAGTAGCTGCAGGAGGAAAGAGCTTGTGGTGAATTTAAAGCCACAAAAAAAGTAAAAATAGAAAATAATCAAGTAGTCTGTTGAAAAGTTTGAAGCTTGAACTGCTTGTTGCTATGGCTACAGTGTTCCTTTTGCAGTACTGGCATTTTTGGTGCAGTATCCAGGAGAAAGATAAGATTTTACTGCCAGCCATGTTCTGAAATGTGGGATCCCATTTTCTCAACTGGGGTGACACAACTGGCTCACACAACTGTTTTGCTTTGCTGTTATGATGGGCACATTTGTGCATGTTGCACCACAGTCCCTGTTTTCTCCATAGACCTGAGAAAGCGAGAAAGAAATAAAACTGAACATTTATTCTTTTAGAGTCAGTAGGGAGAGCAGAGGGAGAAAGTTAAAAACAATCCACAGCCCTCCTGTATTGTGTTATCTTTAAAGAGGGGTTCAGGTGAACCTATACCTTCACAGTAGGTTCTTCAGTGTGGTATCTCATGAAACTTTTAAAACATAAATAGGATTTATTTACTGTATGCTCTTTATCCCATCTCAACAAATTCCATTCTGTTGGATAATTCTGTGCATGTGTGTGTGTTTATTTGGATGTTCATGTTTAAATCTTGGTCATTTCTACTGATTTCTACCCTGGGGGCGGTAAGAGAGTGAGGGACAAGAAATAGAGCTATGCAGCTGTTACCATTCGATTCAGATGCCGTTAGTGAAAGTTTGTTTTTGAGCCTTTTTGTTTGTTTTTAATTCCAATTATTAAATACAAAAATAACAGTCAAGTAATGAAAACACAATCCCTTATCCTATATTTTCTGAAAAACTTAAGCATTCAGAGCTTTGTTTTAGATTTTGTCAGATCCTCAGCTGGTGTAGATTGGAATAAATCCACTGACTTCTCTGAAGGTAAATCCATTGATTTGAAACAGCTAAAGGATCTGTCCTCTTAGTTTCAATTGCTCCTTGGTTGCAAGAGCCAGTGAGACAATGATGTTTAGCAGGAGATTGTGTAGCTCTGCTACGATACTACAGCATGTCAGGATAAATCAAGAATGTTCAGCACCTTTTCCTTTTTGAGATGTTAGGACTTATCTTTGTTTGTGCACGCTCTTTATTTTTATCTCTTGTTAATATCACATTAACGTGGCGCCACTATGTTCTAATTGGATTATTATGTTTATTTCCTTTCTCTGTATTGACATTGTCCTGTAATTTTTGTTGTTTTTAACTGGAGAGGTTTTTCCTGTGGCACATGTTTATATGTGTGTGTCTCTCTGAAATTGTTGCACTGGCAGATAATTTTCAAGGCTTGTCCTTTGGAACACTTCTGTATCCTATTTGGAATATTCTCTTGTTCTTTTGTTCTACCAGCAGGCTACAACTGAATTTCATATTAATTGGTTTGGCACAAAATATTACATTTCTTTGATTAAGTCACAAAGGACAAAGCTTTGCAGATTTGCCTCATTGTAGTCAGTTTTAATAAAATTAGACAGTTATGCATCATGTCACTGCTCCTCGTTCTCCCTCAGGCCTGAAGTTCATCAGTACACTGTGTATTTTGACATAGATTTCATCATTTGATACCAAAGAGCATCTACATTTCTTCTTGACAGAACAATTTGCTTCTTGCCCCTAGAAAGCTTACTTCATTTTTGGTTTGTTTATTACTGCATGGTTATTCTCTTATTTTGATAGATGGCAATGGTTTGTATAGGAAAAGTTGCTCTTCTGATCTTTGGTATTAAGCCCATTAAGAGGCATATCTATACATTAGTCAATTGCCCATCAAGAATGACAGGGCAGGGCAGGGACAGAGGCCTGTGTCCACCCCCTTACCCCCGCTTTGGGTCTGGGCCAGTTCCCCCACTTTGGGTCAAGGGCCGTTCCCTTCCTCCCCCCACTTTGGGTCAAGGGCCGTTCCCTTCCTCCCCCCACTTTGGGTCTGGGCCCATTCCCCGCCTTTGGGTCCGGGCCTGTTTCCCCCAATCCCCTGCCGCTTCCAGTCTGGGCCCACTTCCCCCCACCCTGGCACTCTGGGTCTGGCCACCCTGCATCTGTCTGCCTCCCCTACCTGCTCCACTCCCTCCCTCCTGGCTCTTGGCATGGCCCGGCAGTGGGGCACTGTCACTATGACCCTCCTTCCCCTCCCCTCACCTCCTGTTCCTCTCCCTGCCGGCTTCTGTTGGGGCCCAGAGGTCGCGGGGTGGCAGCAGCGTGCTCCCCACCATCATGACAGACAGCATCCAGCCCTGCCCCCACTTCTCATCTGGTCGGGAAGGGGGCAAATGGGCTTGCTCCCCCCAGCCACACCCCAGCTGCTTTGGGGCAAGGCATGTTCCCTCCCCCCCTCCGCTTCAGGGCTGTTGCTGGGAAGCAGCAGTGGCCTCTCCCTCCCTCCCCCTTCCTGCTGGCTTTTGTCGGGGCTCCACTTCTCCGCATCCCCCGCATCCATCCCTGCCCCTACTTATCATCCAGTCTGGGGAGGGGCGGAATGAGCCCACTCCTCCCCCCCACCCCCCCGCTCTGGTGACACTGCTTGCAGGCAGCAGGGTGGTGGTAGGAGGTGAGGCCAGCAGCACCGGCCTCTCCCTCCCCCCCCGCTCCATCCCCTGTGCATCTGCCATCATGGCAGCGCTCCACTGTGCTGTCTCCTGTCCAAACGCTCTTGGAACACTGATTGGTTGTATCAGTCAACCAAACAGATTGCATATAATGTGTTACAGACAGATGGACTAAGCCTTTTATATATATATATAGAATTATAAGTTTTTATGGAATCAAACTGAGCAAAATCCTACTGTCTTGGCTAGAAAGAATGCTCTCTTTTTGCTTACTCATTGAAACAATCTTCGTTGGACCGCAGAAGTACTAATGTGAGTCTCTGCTGCCAAGCTTATGAATGCTACATAAATTCTAGCAGCATCTTTTTGACTGTGTA